TTAATTCTAATGAATTTGCATCGAATTCCTTATCCCAGTCAACATCAAGGAGTGACTCATTTATTAGTTTATAGTCAGCATTTATGTAATCTCTAATTGTTTGTTCTGTTACAACAGTTTTGATGACAGGCTCATCATATCGAATATTGATTGCATTGTGGTGCTTCTCAAAATTTACCAAATGATATTCACTCATGTAACATTGAGATAGCTCTACATCATTTGTCCAGATTAAATCAAGCATACGACCATTTTGGTTGCAGCTCTTGTTAATCTGGTGAAGTCCCAGTTCATAGCAAGTATCCAGCACTATCTTCTCTTTTTCACTGGCTGCATTGATAGCTATTGCTATGTCAGGGTCCTCATCTTCGTCAACAAACCAAATCAATTTGGGCAAATTAAAATCACCGGAAACTACTAAAACATCATTTATACTTAACTTTGATGCGATTTCTCTCAAGGCATTCAAGTTGTTTTCATATACCTTGAGTGTTGAGTCTGGCCGAATATATAATTCTACCAAAATGATGTTTCGTTTTAGTCCAGATACTTTTACCCAAATCTGTTCCGCACCGAACAGGTCACCCGTCCCAATGCAAACCGACTTTAGCTTGTTGTTAACAGCGATCAAAACTCCTCCTCCATTCTCCTTGTGATGAACTTGGTCCCTCTCAGTGTTTGGTGACCGATCACAACGATATACATCGTACATCTGCGGAAACAAGTCATTCGAATTGATGGCGTCATTCAGATGAGTCTCTCGCAGCATGTAAATTTGCGAATGGTGCACTAGAATTTCCGCCACAAACTCCGGAATTTTTGTTTTTAATCCATTTACATTTTGTGAATGGATAACCAGCTGTTTTGAATATTTTTCATCGTTTAAATTGTGTGAAGTACTCATTTCTGAGTTACCTTTTTTGTTTTCCATCGATGAAAAATTAACAGCTGAGATTGTTGTGGCATCTAATAGTGGTTTCTGGATTGCCAGCGCTGGGCCGGCGGCCGAAGACCCCTCCGAACACGTTGAAAATCCGCAAAACTCTTCTCAAACTCAATAAAACAAGTGCGGCAATCACAATCATCAAAATGCGGACTAGCGCTCGGCAAAACATTCTTAAAATGTCGTTGGTTATTGAAACCATCATTCCAATTGCCTTACTTTTTCCTTTATTGTACACCTTGTACATGACAATGCCAATGGTGAATCTTCATGGAACGTTGCTTTGAATTCATCCTCTTTGTACTCCATTTTCTCATATACAAATATTTTTTTTATTTAAATTAAAAAAATTGAAATTTTTTCAATATATTTCATTTTTCTTCCAATAAAATCTAAGCGTGTTTGTCGATTTATAAGCGTCATCTATTGCGAATTTGTACCATTTAAAGTTATGTACTGATGTCAAGTTTTTTAATCGTACTTTTCACGTCGTCCCCATGTACCAAACATTGTATTAGTATTCTTATGAATGGAGATTGAGGGTAATCAATAGTTTTTTTTTTATAATTCATAAATTTTTTCTAGTATTTCTTGTGTTTAGAGTTGGTTTTCATTATTTTTTCATACCAATTGCACAAACAATGGTGAAGTAAACTACGATTTTTTGATTTTTTACTATTCTTTTTAGTATTCATGGGGTGAATGGCTTTTAGAAATTGAAGAACCATTTCATTTTATTTAAGAGTCGTCTGAAAATTATGAAACTACAAATATTTGAAACAGTTTTTGCGTACTTGATATTGAAAGTCATTTGGGCATTTGGGTGTTTTTTTGTTCACAAAAATTTATTAGGTATTTTCAAATTATGTATTTTATATTTTTTTCCTATACTTAAAAACTAAAGATTTTATATATTTTGGGATCAGTTTATGAGCGTTAATTAAACTCGTTCATTTCTATTGAGTTATATGTGAATTTGATTCTGATGAAAATATTTCCTTTATTTTTTTTTTTATAAATTTTACAATATAAGATTAGAGCAGTACTAAATTTGAACGAAAATTCAAGCTAATTATTCACGGTTGGTTTATTTTATTCCAGATAAAGTTAAATTGCAATCCAGGGCAACAATTTTTTTATTTATATTATTACTGATCATATTCATTAAATTATAAATTACACATTAAAATTTGCATATACAAGGAATAAAATAGAAACGAACAAGAAAAAAAAATACAAAATGTGTTCCTTGCATGCAGTACGTGGTTAGCTTAAATAAATACTTATGTTTTTGTATTTAATAATTCCGAATATTTTTTCTCCTGAAAAATTGATAAAGTCAATATTTTATCGGATTGTTTTAGACGTAAACTGGTTTTGTCAAGTATTTTTTGAATTTAAGGATCGAAATTCGAAGGAAATATGTATAAGTATATTATGTGAATATTAAAAGTTAATAATTAATTGAAAATATTTACGTCCAATCAGATGGTCTTGCTATCATTGTGTGTTACTGACATTATTTATTACATTATTTTGTCTAATGTTTGTTAAAATGAATAATATTTGATTATTAACCATAATAGGTATCATTTATTCATTTATATTCTTACACTTAAATCTCCACAATCTTAATAATAACCCGCATGACTTTGGTATGCATCAGATTTGGCTGTATAGCCTGTATAGTTTGTATCTGTAATGTGGTTAGATAAGAAATGCATTACTTTTTAATATAAATGATGATATATATATTCCTGTTTTGAATTATATTTAACTTTTTTGATAACGATCGATTATTGACGAAAATAAATGTGATTGTCTTCGTTATTGTCTTTCACAAGTTCCTAGTGACAATTGGGTCACTATTATATTACTGTTCTACAGTATTATCCCTCTAACTGGGAGGGCTCCTTCCAAAAAGAATTAGCCTTATTCTTTTACTTACGCTGCAGCGTAATATTTTTTCATTTCAGTTTTAAATGAATGCTTAAACTTTCGAAACCAAATTTCACGCGTAAATATTTTATGTAAGTATTTTACACATCTTCGTTTATGCAAGTGAAAAGATCTGTCATGTTATCTTAGATATTGAATTAATAAGTCACAAACGAGAAATTTCTTGAGTAATTTCTCCAATATTCTTTTTTTAGCATTAAAAAAAGATGTAAAGATGTTTAGGAACTTGAAGCTGTATATGATCACATATTGAATTTAGATGTAATAACTTTTTTTCATGATTCGTGCGAATTTTTTGTTTATCAATTTTTATCTTTTTTTATAAATCTTCGGTTTTTGGTTTTTATGCATGATAGCATGATATTTTGTGATTTTATTTTAAAAACTTTGATCGTGATCATATGAAATATTTCTTTATCAGAAACTGTAATGTCTTAATTCTTAATTAAGAACTAAGCAAAATATCACAGACAATGACTAATAACTTCTATAGATAGACTTTTAAGAATTAGGTTATCATAGACTGTAATATAAATAAAAGTATTGATTTATTACCAAAACCATTGTTATTATCTACTCTAAGAACAGATTAAATAGACTGTCCACTATTATTGCTGAAAGTGAAAGACTATATTATCAATTTCTTAACAAGGCTTAACGTCAGATGTTGTCTTCCGTATTTATTTTGAGTCTTAAAAAATGGAACAACTCTATTTGAGCATATTTTGTTTAGTCGAGTTTTTATTCTAACCTATTAATGTGGTTTAATACTAGTGAAAGTTCTGATCAATTAAAAATGATGATAATACTTTTCCGGACAAAGTAGTGGACGCAATTTTTGTAGTTAAAAACAATTATAAAATAAATAATTCATAATGAAAAATCACTTTTATATTTCTAAACCTGTTAATTTGAAAACTATATTGTTATGGGGAAGACACTTGGATTTGTGGATTCGAAATGAATCCGTCAAACGGATTGTTTATACAAAAAAATAATGGATTTATTAACGTCTTTGCTACGTTTGTTGTTCGCCCGGCTTTGATTTTTTCGAATCTTCGTTGAACCCAATAATACAAACGAAAACTCTAGGTTTGTTCAACACTACAGTCCGTATTTGTGCCAAATAGATATAGTAAAACCCGTAAATAACATATATACGTTACATCAATGGACCAACTCTTTTTTTTTCGTTATACACGTGAATTGCGTGAAAAAAATTTCCATTATTTGTGGAATGGTGGATTCATAAAATTCGATTCTACAGTAGAATAATTTATCTACCACCTAGCTGCTGATGAAATTATACTCGCAGTTTTAATTTTAAATACTAAACCATTCCGCATTTAACTTTTTTGTAATGTACCAGCCAAAAAAATCATAATCACTTAATCAACTTATGGCAAGCGTTGAAATAATAAACGATTTCAAAGAGGCTATATTGTGTGTTTTTTTACTATTTATGAAAAGGACGCAGTAAATTCATACTTTATGCATTGTTTTTCAAATGTCTTACTTTTGCCTTCAATTTATATTTTATTATTGAGTATTTAAAATTGTCTTTTGGCGTAAATATACCGTCGTATAAATACTGGCACCTGTATAATTTTTTAGCATTTATGTTCAACTTTCTTCGCTATATAAATTATGAAATATTTCTCTATCCAAAAAAATATCTAAATATATAAAGTTATTGAACGAATAATAAATAATGAATTATCAATAACAAATTCTTGCTTATGAGCATAACACGATTTTTTTCATAATTATGGAAAACCCTTCATTATTAACCAAACAATCTCAGTTTTAAATATTGTGTTAAATTTTTGATAGCAAAATGTATATTTTTCTCTTATCCAAATATTTCAGGTATATTTAAATCATCAGTATGCCTATAATTTGATTAGTTACATATCAGGGTGAAGAATTTTTTTTCAATTTTTATGCGAATACTTGATTTTTATAGTGATTTGGTCTCCTATTGTGACCTGAACACGAATTAAATATTTTTCAATGTCGTAATCGATATAAGGAAGGGGGTTATATATATATTTACTACTAAATATCTACTTTTGAAAAATAATGTATGAAAACTCACCATATCCACTGTATGATCTGTTATCATATGTTCCAGCTTGTGAGTAGTCAGAAGTCGAAGTATTATAATCTGTAGATGTTCCATAGTTGGTTGTATTGTAGTCCGACTGTGTATAGCCAGTTGGATAACGTGCATCTTGTTGGTATGATGTTGTACTTTAAATTGTAAAAATGAACATTTTTTATTAGCATGAATAAAACTGTATTATTACACATTGTGTATCTTACTTATAATCTTGAGAATATCCTTGACTTTGGTCATATTCACTTGTTTGTGGGTAGCTTTGTTGAGGATATTGTGAGTAGCCATTAGTACTATAAGCAGATTGAGATGGTGGTGGTACATAATTTTGCGAATAGTCATGAATTTGACCCATTTGATCATACCCACCATTGCCTGAAAGTTCAATAATAATTGTTGTAAAAATGTTGTCGTTATTTCCCACAATCAACAATTGATCATAAACATATAGAATGAAATATTAACTTAACAGAGTACCATAACAATTTTACCAAAAAAGTTACTTTTTCACACATACCGAGTGTGTAAGCTAAAGTATTGGAATCGGGCGAAAAACTAAGAACACTCAAAAACTTATTTTCCCAATATTTTTGGGGCCAGAGAACACGAATCATCCGTTTTCTCGTCATAGTTATGTATGTGCGTACCCTGTTAACACTATAAATCCATAACATGTATTTATTATAGACTAATATTTAAATGCTCAGTTAAGTTTGTATTCACGCGGAAATAGAATCTGATGTTATTTTTGCGATACCAACAATTTTCAACAAAAAGCCAAAAATCGAAAACAAAATGCAATAAATGTTCGTAGTAATTGAAAAAAAAAACTCAAGAATCTTATTTTCTTACCCAAATATATAATATCTAATGGTATACCTAATATGCATTGCAATTTCTTCAAACTCTCAGAATATTAAATAACCTGTGCATAGTTACACATCCTTACGAGAAATGACCTCCATAAAAAATTCACGTTTTTAGTAATTTTTGTATGAAAAATATGTAATAAATGCGTGCCGTGGATTAGAGTGCGGAAAAGGCCATCTCACGGATGTAAGACATTCTCTTTAACATTAGAAAACATTTTTATTGAAAACTTTGTCTGCTTCAGTTCTTAAACCTTCATTAAATTTAATATATTTCAAATTGAAGAAAAACGAAAGATCAAGTGAGATTGAAATACTCTGAACACCAAATATTATAAATATAATTTACCTTGTGGTCCATAGTAGTTGTTTGGTTGATGTTGCATTGGGGGTATCGAATTGGGGTAGTTATTACTATAGTTTGGCTGCGATTGTGGTTGCTGATGATTTGGAGGACCTTGTAATTGCGGTGGGGTAGGACCTTGTGGCCCTTGCATTGGATATTTTTGTAAACGATGTGATGGCGTTTGTTCATAGCGACCTGGAAATAATGTTAACAAAATGCAATAAAAATGCTTTTTTCCATTCACACAATTTAATTTGCAAAATATAGCAGAAAAAATATTGGAAAAATAATTAAATAACCAACGATATTTATTATATTAGTTCAGAATTCATTGTTATAAAAGAATATTATTATTGTAACAAATCATTTTTATTAACAATTGATTGCCCGAGAATGAAAGCGAGACTTCTATTCACAACTTATTGAAATGTAACACCGCCATACAAAATATGCTGACAGTCAGCACTGTTTGTATGGTGGTGTTACATTTCAATAAGTTGTGAACAGAAGTCTCGCTTTCATTCTCGGACTTTCAATTGTAACAAATCATATATTAATATTGCAACAAATCATTTCTAAAACATATGGCTTACCTCGTTTCGGTCCTGGTAATCCAATGGGAGGTCCTCTTTTGAGTGGAACTATTGAAAAGTTATCGTAATTAACAAAATTAAAAATACGTAGGTTTTTGAAAATAAATTTAGAAATAGAAATATAAAAATTTGAATGAAAAATTTGAAACGAGAAAACTCACTTCCAGGCTGCATCATTCCTGGCTGATGATTAGATCCATGCATTGGACCATTCGGTCTGGTCGGACCTTGCTGAAATCCCCCACGACCTCGAGATAAACCTCCACGATAAAAAGGTTTTGACGGGGGATTAGATCCTGTGAACACAAATAGAATCAATTTAATTCCAACATAAGTGCGGATAAATATTTATTTTACATAATATTGTTTTTTTTTTCAATATCTGTTTATGTATTGTATTCGAGTGATTTATAAAACCATGTGAATTTTGATATATTTTAATATTATGCTATAAAGGCAGCAAAAATGTACACTTTTCTTTTTATCATTTTTTTTAGTCAATTGTTATTTTCTTAGATTTCCGTGATTCCAAGATGGCGGAATACAAACGTATTGAACTACACGAAGTCGAAGAAATTTCGCACAGCGAACATGTATACTAATACAAATATGATATTCACATCACTATTCGGAGATTACGAACACAAGTGCCTACCCCCTAGCAAATGATGCAATGGTTTATCATGAAAATAGCATCGATATCCAACGAGTCAACTGTGTGAACTTGAGTAGTACCGATTTTTTTCCCTCGAAAAATTGAAAAAATCGCTTGGAAACCATACAAAAACTCAAAATTACTAGGGCAAGCAAGCGGCCAGTTATAGAACAGGACCATCCAACCGTCAGAATGTTTTTTTCTTTACAGATTTCTCATAATTTCCCATATGAGATAATCATGTTTATCAAAAATGCTATTTTCAGCGATTTTCAGCGAAGGATCATGATTGGTACGGAAGACGTACCATATTTCATGGATAGTATTGAGAATAATCAAGTTCACTTAGATTAAAATATCAAGTATAAAATCATAGAATACAATAAATATATTGTCAGTCTAAAAAGATTCATTAAATCGAAAAGATGTGTTTTAGTGTTTCTAAATAGTTTATCTGAATTCACTCTTTACATCCAACACATAGACCATCCGATCAACAATGCATATACCACATTTCCCACCTAATTTTCAACGAGGAATCGAATGAAAGTAGTTTCGCACTGATTCGACAACATTTAAGGATCGAAAAATGGCCATGCACTCAAGTTACTTTTCAACTCTTAAGCATTTTATCGACGAATTAGCCGAGTACAACATAATTTTAAATCGTTTTAAATGCATTCTAATGGATTGTATGCCATGCCAAACCATTATAAATATTGATTAAAATCAATTTGAAGGGTCAGAAAAGCATTTAAGTCGAACTGATCTATGAACATGGTCGCATAATCGATAAAATTATGAAAAATTTGCGTTTTTTAAGAAAAATGCCAACTTTCCATCCCATTTATAAAAAATAAACATACTTCTGGGTCCTACTATATAATTTTTTTTTCGAATTCGTTGATATAGTCATGTTTCTATGACCTTCCTACAGAGGTTATAGGGGTAGGATTTTTGATTCTTGAAAAAATGTCAAAATTGAACCACTCTAATGGCCATAGATGGCGCCAAATGATGTCGTCGACTCCTGAAGACTTTTGGAAAAAAATTGAATTTTCCCCATGGATGCTCATTGGCATCAAACCAGACATGACACTTCACTCTATCAACCAAAGTCGCTCAAAATCTAATGGTTTCTATTCCTCGGCACCTCTAATCATCCTGAGAAGTCAGATTTTGAATTACTTTTCTTGTTTGAAAGTTAGCGTGTTAACAAATTTTTGCGTACAGGGTACAGGGTACGCACATACATTCGGACATCGAAAAAACGCTAGATTCGTTGATTTTTTATGAGTCTTAATTTTTCGACCGATTCCAATGCTTTACCTTACACACTAGGTATGTGATGAAAAGTAAAACTACGCATTTGTTGGAAAGGTCTTAAAGTAAACTCTGGTGGTGAACTGCGACCTAAAAATTTCATGTAGAGGTGGCCAAATTGGTCAAAAACCAAAAATTGACCGTCTTTTCTCGCAAGAACGGTTCAATAGTTTTTTTTTGTAAATTTCATCGATTTTTGGTCTGAGCTATAAAATGCCGTATAGCTCATATCCAGGAAAATTCTTTTTTCCAAAATAGTGAAAATGTGGGCAAAAACTGCCATTTTTTCATGCAGTCACTGTGGCGCCTCAACTTGACATACCAAGGACATTGGAATACCATTGTAAAGGTCTAGAAGTAAACTATCGAATGGTGCCAATTTCAGCTTAAAAATTTCAACTTGCGATGGCCAAATTGGCCAAAAACTAAAATGTGAGCGTCTGGACACATAACAGACATTATCTCGAAAAAGACTGCATATGTTCTTTTGAAAAGTTCATCAATTCAAGTCCTAAGTCAAAGATAAAAAAATGTGCATATATCCTCATTATAAAACATAATTTATATCATTTTGATCCAAAAATAACCTAAAAATCCATATTTTCATTGTATTTGAAAAAGATTCAAAGATGGAAAATAGCGCTCACAAAACTATTGATATCAAATAAATAGCCTCTATTGAAGAACGATTGACGAAACAAAAAATTTCTGATTTATTTTGTGACGAAAATAGTTGGTAGATATTTTTTCTGTGTTTTTTTGATTATAAACTTATTATACATTTGTAAATTCTGAACGTTGCTTCATTGCGTCAGTATGAACTAAAAGTAAAATAAAGAGTCTTACAAAAGTAAGACGAAGTATTCCGCACGGTGGTAGATGCGTATTCTATTAAGCTAGTTCAAAATAATATTTGTTCGTATTTTCAAGCCTTTCAAGCGGCATTAAGTTTGAGGCCAAAAAATGTGTTCGGCATCGAAATATTCTTTGATTTAATAGCAGAATATCGTAAGCACGTGAAACTTTGCACAGATTATTTTTTTCACAAAAAAATAACATTCGAAAAGTTTGGAGAAATTTCAACGAAAATTATGAGTACCTCCCATACAAAATAATCGTTTTTGAACCAAAAATTGAAATTTTTGTATGGGAGGTATCCCTAATTTTGATTGAAATCTCATCAAACTTTCAGAATGTTATTTTTTTGTGTAAAAAATAGTCTGTGCAAAGTTTCACATCATTACGGTAGCGTAAAAGCATGGCTCCCATACAAAAATTAAATTTTTCACGATTTTTTCAAAAAAACTCTGTTAAAACTTAATTGTATCTCAAAATTAACGTCGAATTCGATTTTATCGTGTCAGTACATATTTTTGAGTGTTTAAGTCTATATAAAGTTTGACTTTTGGACGAAAATTGGACTCTTTTCCATAGGTATCACTCCAGGCATGAAATTTTTATCCATCAACCAAAGTCGCTCAAAAGCTAATGATTCCTATTCCTCGCGACCCCCAATCATCCTGTGAAGTCAGATTTTAAATAACTTTCCTGGGTGGTGTGATAATCGATGGACAAATTTGGCGTACAGAGGACAACGTACGACGTACGACGTGGAACAGACCCACAACAATCATGCTCAAAACGGCCTGATTCGGGTTCTCTGACCTCAAAAAGTCTAGAAAACATGTTTTTGAGGTTTCGTAAATTTTGACCCATTGCAATACTTTCCCCTTACACACGTCTGTAACGTTCTGAATATACAAATATATACTAAGTTATTATTCACAGTAGTGGCAGTTGTCAGATTCATTTTGCGATGCGATGAAATTTGGATACATTTCCCTCAAAAAAGATACGAAAAAATCACTGGATATAGAAAAAATTGAATATTCGCACAAGAAATAACATAAATGAGACGTAGCCATCTTAAAATATTTGATTGTGTCATCATTTCACTGACTCATTTTAAAATAATATGATTTTCAAAATACATGACTTTTGTGTTTTTCCCAACATATTAAAGGAATTTGCTTTGATATATTGGAAGAAAGCACAAAAAGGTGAAAAGGTAATAAATTTTTGAGACGAAAATCATAATTTATTCAACTTAATTGATCGGCTGTTGACACAATTTTATATTTTAAGATGAATGAATTTTTGAATTTTTGTACGGAGAGATTTCCATTGTATCGCAAAAGTTTTCAGATTCGGTTTTCTTGTACCAAAATATCCTCAAATACCAATTTTCACAAAAATCGATTAAGAGATACATCAATTTACAGAATAGCGGAAAATATGCGTCGCTGTCGTTTTTTCCAACTAAGACTGTGATATTATTTCAAACGAACAAGAATTTTTAGGCATGTTTAATTGATAAGACTCTAAGTTTTCGTCGGCTTTTTTGTTTTACACAATTGTCGTATCTCCGGACGTAATTTGATGATACTTTTTTATATTTTATAATGGCTTTTTTCCTATAAACTTGGTCAAAAGTTAATTTACCTTGTTGTATATCATTTCCAGTGACATTTATATTGGGATTATAGCTGCTTCCTCCACGACGTTGTGACATGCCACCTCCTCTTCCACCTCGAATCGAATTTCCAATTACTTGAAATTATTTTTTTTTTGTCTTAGTATTATTTTAAAGTAATATGAAACACTTCCTACCTTTAGATGTAGGTGGTCCAGATTGATTGATTGGTGCTGTGTTGCTCTGATCATTTGCTGAAGAATGCGAATTATTTTGAGTTGGTTTTGATGTCTGTTGTGAACTGGGATTTGGAGTATTGGATGATGCCTCAGGCTTTTGAGCGACATCATTTGAAGGTGGTCCTATGTTTGTGCTAAAATTGAAAATCAAGAGTTAAACGTAAAATTTTCATTCAACTGTTCACATTTTTTGCGTTACCTTTGGTTCTGATAGTTATAATTCATTGGTCTTCCACCACGTCCCGGATTTCCTCTGGACGGCCCACCTCTTTAATTTAGATGAAAAGTATACTTATAAATTTTTAAAAGAAGGATAGTTCTATTGAATATATCGAGAAGAGAGTATGTTATTCAGCGCTTAAAGCTGAGTAAGGTCTGAATAAAAACATACTCTCCTCTCGATATTTTCAATAGAGTTATAGTTTACCTAAAATTCATTCCTCGACTCATAATACCACGCATTAATCCACGTCTCAAAGCTGGTGGCCCATTGAATCCTCTAGGCATCGAACCCATCGGTCCACCACCTCTGCCCATTCCACGGCCTCTGAAAATGCGTATTTTATTTATGAGTGGCTTTTTCTATATTATTGTAAATGAAGATTTACCTGCCACGACCATCGAAACTTCCACGCGGCATACCTAAACGAAATTTAAAATTGAGAAATATACTAATATATTATATATTTATATTCATATAAATTGAACTTTACCCCCACGACCACGAAATCCACCTCTCATTGGTGGTCCTGAATTATTGGAACCATTTTCCATATTGTTTTATAGTTTAATATTTTTTTCAGTTAGGTATGGATGCAATAGATTCTACCTATTGAATTTAAGTCACTAAAATTTTATTCACAAAACTACACGACACAACTGATGAAAACTCGAAATTCTATGATTCACAGTAAATTTATTTTGTCAAAAATGTAAAAATACACGCCTTTTTAAAGCATATAAATGTACACAAGAACTCAACAATGCGATTCACTATTTTCAATGAAAAAGTCAATATAATGGCGGCATATACGCAAATACAATTGATATTTAGTTTTGCCAATTTTACCATAGAAAAGCGCGTTTATGCATTTAATATGCTCATGTCAAAAAATTCTTTGTATTGACAATGGTTACCAGCTCTACTAAGGTGATATTATTCTCTGTTTCTTTTCGTTTCGATTTTTTGTCTCTCTTCAATCCTCAACTATACATGCGTAAAACATACTTATGCCGGCGGTGGCAGCAGTATCACTTGAATTCAATACATAGAAAAGAATACATAGATATAAATGTCACGTATACGTGTATTTTGTTTATTTTATTTTTTTAAATTGTGATTTTCGATAAAAAGACATTATTTAAATAAAAAAGATGTCATTATAATGAAGAAAAATGAACAATATTTTCTACTTAAAAATTATATGTACGTGTATTCACAACTTTTGATTTAAAAAATGTCTGTGTTGAAGTTAAGTTTGTGTGCGTTAGCGTATGTTTGGTTAATATTAGTCAAATTGGTGAATTTGTAATTTTTGGTGAGTTCAATTTTGTGGATGGAAATCAAACAAAGCCAGTATATATTGCAAAAAATATTCGAACAAACATCAAACATAAGTAAAGAAATTCAACAATGTACATATGTACCTGATTGTTGTACATATGTATATTTCAGGATACGCGGATAAGGATAAGGTGGTGAGATTCAAATTTTATTGTCTATCATATTATCCTTTATACTGTATTTTTAACATTCTGGGAGTTGTGCGTAATAATTTGTATTTGAAAGAAAAAATGGGTGCAGAAGATGGTAATTATTAATAAATATTGATTTTTTTTGGAAAATAATAAAAAATCAATTTTATGTTATTAGACATTTCATCTGAATCGGTAGAAGCTCTAAAAGAACGTTTAGCCTCAATGAAACGTTTAATGGCAGACAAGCAAGCTGCAGCAGGATCGAAAGGTGCATCAGTCGATGAAATTCTTTTTAATAAGTCCAGAAGAAATGCTGTCATAATTGATGCCAATTTTCTGAGTATTGCACTTTGTGGAGCCCTTGGTGTTATTTTATCGGTGGCAGTGTATGCATTCTATTCTTTGTATAATGCAGTATCAAAGAGATTTCCATCTTCTCACACTGAGTTGTAGATATACCATAAATGAAATTAAATAAAGCGGACTCAAATAAATTGATTGATTGATTTATTTTATTTTTTTTTCTTTAAATTAATGATTATCAAGCAAATGATTAAATTTTTCAAAATGTGAAGCAATAACAGTAAATTTCAATATACTCTTCAATCGCAAATTTCGCAGAAGACAGTGAATAATATAATCCGAATTTTGAAATGTTGAACCAAAACTTGCATCACATAAAATTTTCACCAAAAAATATAGGTCCCTTGAATAGATCTTACAAAAGTTTTCCGTTCCAACGCGAAATCTAATATCGAATAAAAACTTGTCCCAAAATTGCTTAATATGGGGAGAAAATCCAAATTTCAAAATTGTATGAGCTGAAATGTTGCTGAGAGACTGAAAGGCTACGTTTGATTTCAAGCACATCTCAAGAATTTGAGTATATGTTTTGTTGTCGATTTGATAACTATCCGGATGATGAAAAATTGCAGCGATGGTGTGATATAATCTTAGGTAAAAAAAATCTTCCGTCACTTCAAATGAAGCGCTTTTATGTTTAATTATGGTCCGCTTTGTTTCTGTTGATTTGAAGTTGTTATCAAGTATCTCAGTTAAATTTTTCTTCTCATTTTGCAATTTTACCAGTTTCACGTGATAATCAAACGGCATTTCATTCTTTGATTCCAAAAATTCGAATATTTCGAACTGTAAACATAAAAAATATTATGAAATCAAAAAACAAGAACAAACAAAAATGTTATAGCTATATCCTAGGATATTCTATTCTATCCTAGGATAGAAATAACATACAATTAGGTTCTTTGCCAATTTATTGTATTCTTCTGTTTCCATAAAATCAAATATTGAAGTCAACAAAGTTCCATATACATTAATATCTGTAAATTTCAAAATATTTATCATAAAAAACATTAATTTCAGCAATAATAAACATAAAAAATAAAAGAGAAATCGCCTTTTTTTTAAAATTGGTCTGTTCATCTACATTTTATTTGGATATTTTTTTGAGAAAATTCAATTCATTTTGACAATTATTTCGGTATTAATACTGTAAACTGCGTTTTGTGCCAATATCGTCCAAAATTTGTCTTAACTCTTCGTCTTCGAAGCGCCCTTCAAGCGATGGAATTAATGCTTAAAATTGAATAAGAAAACAAAAATAAACAAACTTCACAAGAAATAGGTTGAGCAATAATATATAAGGAGATCAATTGAATAATTTCTACCTTTCGCTTCCTCTGGTGCCTCGGGGCACAAATTTCCAAGTGCAGCCAGTTCAAATTTATGCAATTTTTTTTGATTCAACAAACTAAGGATTTATGGAAAATGAATCATCAGTAACATCATTCGATTTGATTTTGATCAATTTGAGAGTTTGGTCTCCCTTAAAAATATATTGCACTGTGTTAATGATTTTATAGTTTACCTTCGAACGGCTGTTATTGTTTCTTTGTTCTTGAATTTTCGAAAAATGTCAGTGTAAGTATATGTTTTCATAAATACTTCTGAAAATTCTTGCTCTTCATCTGCAGATTCATTTTGTTTCTTCCGATGGTCAAGAAGCATGTGTACTTCTGAAATTAACAGAGTTTCAGCGTTTTCGAATTCTGAAAACAAATAAATTCATAAATTGTAATAATTATTACAAAAGACGAGGTTCGAAGAGTAAATTTACTCCCGATTTAGATTGGTTGGAAATTCCTTGCATAACATTCTCGCAAATGTTTTTCTTAATTTGAATGTCAATAAAACTAACAGAATTGAAGAGATACCTCGTACTGAGACTATTGAATAATGGCAAAAGTTACGTTTATCTTCAAAAGTAAAGATAAAATTAAAACAGAATGTAATTTTTGTTTTATTTTTTAAGATGGTTTATTAATATATCCGTGCTCGACAAAGAAATCGTACATGACACGTGTTTTATTAACATCAATTTTAATGAGTCTTCGCGCATCAGCCAATCGTAAATAGCCCATTTTATTATTTTCTGCACATAGGAGTTTTTTATACATCAGATATGCATCAGGAATGACACGTATTATACTGCAAAGTTCTTGTTCATCTTTGGTCAATTTCTCATAATTTGATAAACCTATAAAAATATGTTTGTAAATATAATTTGTCAAACATATATTATATATATATAGCACCCATTTTGAAGAAATGTTTCAAACCTATTATGTTTAAGGGTGTACTTCTCCTTTTCTTTGGTAACTGATTCAAATCCATGCAATGTTTCATAATTTGTTCAGTTCCAGAAAGGGAATTTGTCTTATTCATGGATATATGTTTCCAATCTAATACCGCATGTGGCTTAATATTGGCCATAGACATCCGATTGGCTTTTGAATTTTGAAAATATCTACCACCATGACATGTTGTTATTCCTTTTGATCTTAATTCATATAGTCTGCAAAATTGTTTTGTAAAAAATTTTGAGTTATGTCTAACGTCAATTACCGAAAAAAAAATCATAACATATACTAACTTGCTTAAAAACTTTCTAAGATCATATTCATATTGCAGACTTTCGACAATGCGGTCAAAACCAATTCCAGATGTTAGTTGCATAAATGCAACAAATTTACCAGAGTGTAATTGATTGTCAGTGGATTTTTTTAAATTCATCGCTTTAGTGTATTTCGACAACCAACTTTTTGTTCGATTTGGTAATATTAATCCATGTTGTCGAACAATTTTATGACGGCGATGTCGTTCTCTGTTAAATATTTTAAATATATAATAAGTTTTGGGGAATTGTTTGATATGGTTCTCCATATAATTGCAAATTTTACCTTAGTCTATTATTATAGGCATTAACCAAAGCACAATTTAAACTTTCACCAATATGTGAAAATTCTTCGCTCCATTCACCACTAACCATACTAACTATACTCTCTGCCGAAACGTCAAACTGTGTATTAAATTCACTGCGAGCGAATTGATAATCGGCCAATAACTTTGTTTGCGCCATATTCGATATTCGTGGCGGGTCAAATGAATTTCGATATAAATACGGTATTTCAATACTACTGTATGGATACTTTGTCAATTTGCAAGTCTTCCAAAAAATTCCATCAAAGTAGTTTTGCATATAATGATCGCGACATTCTTCTGCGTTATAGGTTTGAATTTTTCGACTAATATCGGACCAATTTGAAAACCCAAATTGTTTTAGCAGTTCAATTAAAGAAATGTCTTTGTATGCCGGCCAATCCAAAAAAATGTTCACATCATTATGAATAATGACATAAGAATGGTTACTGAGATGAGCTTGAGATTCAGCACCAATTGCAAAGCACTTAAGACAAATTTTATATTGGCTTGATGAAGACGAATCATTTTTTTTTTTACATTCAGCGCATGCAATGTATGGTTCATTGAGCATCGTGCAACAAACATTACATAGATTTATTGTGTGGATTTCTGAATGAATGCGAATAATAACGTAATAATTGCAAAAAAAATTGAATATTAACGTAATATTTGCGAATAATAATATAATAATTACCTTTTGGAAATTGTAGATCTGCTGCATCCTCTAAAATAATTTATAAAAGAGGTTTGAATTTTTGACAAATTTTTGATAGTTTCAGTTTTTTTTATTATTACCTTCAGCAGTTTCCACTGGTACGTGAGACATGTTGTATTTTTACACGAAACGTCGATAATTATTAGAATATGATTATTATTTCGTCGATACCTTGCACATAAAATTTGTGTGTTCCTCCAGTTTGTGACGAATACAATGTCGTGTAGCTAATTGTGCGAAAAGTCAGAACTTTGATTGTGCGTCTACTTGACAAAATACTTAAATACTTATAATACTTAAAATAATCAAAATATACTTAATAAATATGTCAAAATTACATTTTATTATATTTTTTGTTTACATATTTCAAAATTTGTATAGTTGTAGTTGGAATATTGACTCTAATAATAAATGATATTTATTTCATTTTGATTTTTTGTCTATCCCAAAAAACATTTGTTGTGGCAAATTCATCCATTATCGGGCATATGTTGACGGTCAATATTGGGGTCGGATTTGAGTGTAGTTTCAGTCATTTTCAACGTCGCAATGGAAAGAAAAAAGAGAAAAAATAAACTCAGTTACTAAGTATGAATCAACATCAATATACTATCGGTTCAGTTCAATAAATGATACTCACCTACGGGTTATTTTATATACCGAACTGCCCGTACTTCGGTCAAGGCCACAAAACTCAAGCCCAGCATAGTAACAAAACATAATAATAATAATAATAATAACTGCACCGAACAGCGTTCCTTCGCCTTGGTGGTTTATTGAAAATAATTTAATTAAATATATATAATATAATACAATTTGATTTTTATCAAGCATTTTTGAGAGAGAAAATGTAAAATTATTGCTCCTTTCATGTAAATAATATAAATTTCATAAATTAATTTTTCAACTGCTTAAAATTTCTATAATCCATAACAAATTTTTGTATTTATCTGCTTTGCTTTAAATAATTCTCTATTCTCAGTTTTACTGTTGATAAATTTACTTCTAAATCAATTAAATTTTTATCACTGTTTATCAACGTTACAATAATATTATTTAAAAAGAAATCTTAATGCTACATGTAATTAAAACTGGTCGTCATCGGAAACATCGAGAACATAAACGTAGTCCTCATCGTCACTGGAATCCCCATCGTCAGCTGCTTGATTTTGTACGGCAGCATTTTGATTCTGTGATCTCAATAGTTGCGGATGAATGTCCAATCCCAACACCGTACAAAGACCTAAAAACAAAATCGTAAACAACAAATTGTTAGCCAAAACATTCTTAAACATTTTTAATTTCAGTGATATTTTTTCACCTTTGTACATGATATTCTTGGCTGCAACGATATCCCGGTGCCGAACAGTTTTCAATTGAAATGGAGCTCGATCATCTTTCCAAATGCCAGTGTTTAGTTGCCAGTTTTTGAAACATACTTGAAGTTTTGACACTAAACCATCTGAATCCATTATAATATGATCTGGGTTGGCTACATTCAATCGATTAAAAAAATCAACTGCATATTTACGCAATTGTTGGTACACTCGGTTGCTTTTCATGGTGATAATCACGTTCGGTAAATTCCATTGCGATGACTCATCTTCACTTGGAATACAATGCTGACAAACTTTGTATCGATCGCTTTTGGTTCGTCGATCGAATGGCCGGAAACATTTTGCACAAGTTTGCGATGTATTGTATTCGTCGACCAATCGTACAATACAATTTCCCAACTTCTTGAAACTGTTCAATAGTCGTCGTAATCCCGGGCATCGTAATCCCTTTTTAATACCAATTGGTGAGTTTGGAGCTATTTGAGCTGCACCAATAAAAACGAGCGCCGACTTTTTTTTCGTCAGTGACGCCGCGATTTTGTCACTGGCCTGATTCTCTTCGATGTATTTATCGAGATGGAGTCGAATAAACTTTCTTGCTGTGTACACCGCCATAGCTGGATTCATAATTTTCACATAATAAGCGATGTAACACATCCAATGTGAACGTCCTTTCGGAAAAAATGCATAGCGTTTATATTCGAGCTCCCGTTGTTTTTGCAACAATTCAGTCCATTGATCGGATTTACGCTTGCGTTTGCCATATTTCGCTTTGAAATGGTATTTTGGACCATCAATTGTGATGTTTTCCTGAGATTTACGAACAAAAAATCATAGAAGTAAACAAATGATAAATAAAGAATGAATTTATTGTTTCTTGCCTCGTTGCCGGATCGAACGTGTTTGCGAACGGTGGCGTTCCATGTACGAACTACTCAAAATTATTGTACTTCTCTTTGATGGTGTTGTTATCAAGTTCCAGTGTATTGCTTTCAGGCTTCACGAAACATAACGAAACTGCCACACTATCGTTTGCCACAGCAAAATCGAATTCCTTACCATTTCCAAGTTTCGACATTTTTGGCAGGTCAAATATTAAATCCCAATAGGTGGCTGGATTGCTATCGTATTCAGTTTTTTCAATATTTATTGTCTGACCGCGTTTTCCTTTTGCCAATTTCAATGCTCCAAATTTGCTCGCAATCCAATAGAAAAGATGGATATCGATGCGGATATGTTCATATCGAAATCGTGGACTGGAATTACTAAGAAATTCTTTATTTTTGGCGGGATTGGAGTGGTCGGCATGACATAATTGTTTGGATCGCGTCGATATTGGAACCAGCGTTGTTTCAACATTTCATATTTCGCGTGAAAATCGAAAATTTGTCGCTGAATGTTTATAAATATTGGGATGGTTTGGAACCAGCGATCACGAATGAGATTCTGGAGGTGTACATTGATTGGCAATCCAATGCCTGCTGCTTCGTTTAATAGAAGATCGATGTTCGCGTTTCTCTCGACTCTACTCTGGAACATTACGATCTTCGTCGCACGTCTTATATCCAATTCAGTGATGAGATTTCCTTGTCGATTCAAATTCAGTTCGTAGCGATTTAGCGTAAAAAAATTCTTGATGCGACTGAATGCTCATTGCTCATACTCTGATGTTACGAGGGTCACTATTTAAGTTTTTTCAAAAACATATATAAGACAATGGGGTTTCATCGAAAATGGTTTTATTGTTTTTCAAAATATTCGCCATCATGATCAATACACTTTTGCATTCGCTCGAACCATTTGTCATAGCATTCATGCCACTCCGAAAGTGATATCTCTAAAACGTGTGTTTTGAACGCATCAACTGCTTCTTCGGGCGATGAAAATCGTTGAGCACGCAGTTTATTCTTCACGCTCGGGAATAAAAAGAAATCGTTGGGTGCCAAATCAGGACTGTACGGCGGATGACCCATTAAATCGATCTTTTGACCGGTCAAATAATCGACTGTTTGATGAGATGTGTGAGAGCTCGCATTATCATGATGAAGAATTATTTTGCGACGGCGGTTGTTTTTTCTTATTTCACCAAACACTTCGGGCAAACAAATGGTGGTGTACCAATCAGAATTGACGGTCTTACGAGCCTCTAGTGGAACTGTTGCCACATGACCACTTATCGCGAAAAAACAGGCGACCATTTGCTTCGCAACACTTCGAGCTCGAACAACTTTTGTTGGGTTATCTTCACTTTGAAAGACCCATACAGTCGACTGCTGTTTAGTTTCGGGCTCATACGCGTAGATCCATGATTCGCCACCAGTGACGATAAAATACACGGATTTTGAAACACCACGATTGAATTTCTTGAGCATTTGTTTACACCAATCGACACGAGCCTTTTTTTGAGCGATTGTCAAATTATCTGGTATCCAACGAGAGCAAATCTTTCTGACAGCTAAATGTTCATGTAAAATCTTAAATACGCTCGTCGCACTAATGCCCAGGGATGCCTCAATCTCGTGATATGTTACATGACGATCTTCCATTATCATATTTCTGACAGCATCGATGTTTTCTGGTACAACCTTCGCGGAACTCGTCGATGAGCGATATGCGACCGCGCTTGAATTCGTTGTACCAATTATAAATTGTCCGAAGACTTGGTACTTCATCGCCAAAGGCCAAATGAAGTTGATCAAAACACTGTTGTTGTGATACACCCAATCGAAAGTGGAAAAAAATAATCGCTCGAAAATTTTCACGAGTAAAATTCATTTTTTGGCTGAGACGCAATTTACATGTTACGGTAAACAATACAAATAACGATCGAATGACAAAACGTTCTGAGAACGTTTATGCTACAAAATGTTAAACTTAACGAATATGACAATGGTTTGCATCGGGCAATACTAAAACATACATATTGAAGAAACTTAAATAGTCGCCTACGTATTTTTCACGTTTGTTATGTACTGAGTGATGAGATGGTTGAATGCGTTCCCCATGCCCTCGCGAGCTGGCCAATTTTCAGGACGAAGAAAATCAGGACATGCTTGCTCCACAGTTCGTCGAAATGCAAGCGGTAATTTGTGGTAATATTCTTGTAATACCGAAATGAAACATTTACCAATTACACCATTCACGTATTTATTGAATTGATCATTCGTGTATTCATCGGATTCACCTTTAAAAAATCGAACATTTTCATCGTCAAAGGCTTTGTTTGCTTTGAACAAAAATAGTAATGACGCCAGAGTCGTAATCATTGTGGCCGAAAGGCACCAGATGTGACCTGATCGATGAATGGTGCACGTTACTCTTCCCGCAGCACTTGATTTAGAGTCATCTTCAACGACGTACTGCGCCCATTCTTGGCTCTCTTTCTTCTCATCTTGACAGATCTATTGTACAAAAATTAAAGAAAAAAATACACCAAATATTGCATAGATCACAAACACAATAAGATATAAACACTTCTATCACAAATTAAATGAAACAGTAATGAAGAACGCATTATAAATATCACCTCTTACCTCAACAAAGTGACTCTGTATTCTAAATCGAATGATGAAATTTATTTCCAATGTGACATCAAATATTTTGCTGTATTATTAAATGTTGTTGGAATATTCACAGTTAATTTTATCAACACTCTGTTATTTCGAAATTAAAACAAAGACAGTCACAAAACCAACTGTGAATATATCTATTCCACAGGAAACAGCATTCCAAACACATAAAATCGTTTTTGAAATGACAATAAAACCAATTGATCGCCCAAACCACGCTTCAAACACTCTCATATAATTCTCAAGAAATCCTGTTGAAAACAAAACAAAGTTTTATTGTAAACAAAATCGGTTGGTGCGATAGTTGTTTATACTAAAAATACTGTCACACAATGTAGGCACATTTATAATACATATAAATGAATATCTTTGGATTTGGTTTCGCCAATCGAAAAATGTCAGAAAGATGTCAGTTGCATTTCGAAAATTCAAAATAATAATTCCACAAATAAAGAAAATTAAATGCATTAAATGACGTATAAAAGAGTTCTTCTGCAGAGTTTTAAATTAAATTACGCAAATCTCTTTCCGAATAAATTGTTTATTTTTTTATTTGAGCGTAAGATTTGGATTTTCAATTCAAAACTTAATGTATTGGGTTGTTCACATTATGCTGTCAAATGAAATATTATTGGAAGTGAAAGAAACAAGTGGATCCATTCCATTGGAATTCGTGGAAACTATGCATATAATCTCCGTTCCATTTGACACGAAAATGACCACCAGAATGGGCCAAAACGTTTCATTTTTCAACGTTAGAATGTACTAAAAACATTACACATTTAATGACTATAGTTTGAGTTTATTCTCGAAATTTCATTTTATTGATTATTTTTTTATACATTAATTTCATTTTTTGTCTATGGTACTCAACGCATCTTGAATTCGAAAGCAATCACTCACGATTTTCCATTTTTCTTCATGCGCGGTAATAATGAAAGTTTGTTGAAATTGTTTGGATTGATTGTTTTGAATGCGAAACATACCAGATACCTAAATTGACCCCGGAAAAAAGAATGCGATTAAATAAGAAATTAGAAAAAATGGGTGATATATTAATGAAGCAAAGCAAAAAAAATTATTTATGTTATCTATAGTTTAAGAGTAAAGCCATTGAAATCGTTTGAACAAATAAAATTGCTTGAATTTAAGATTTGGTAGTTATAATCGATCCTGTTTTCATCAATAAATTTTGCTTAAGCGACTAAAGTTTCATCTATATGTAAGATTTACAGATATATTGTATCAATATCATAAATAGATACCATAATCAATAAAGTCTTTTGATTGGAAAGAGCTTCATCAATGACTGGTTGAGCATCAAGAGTTGTGATAGTATGTTCAGTTATAGGAAGATCTTGGAAGAATTTTTGAATATTTTCTTTTCCAGTTGTTCCATTTCCATTCCAAATAGCGATTGCGTTGTCCAAATACAAACGTGACATTTGCTGTTATAGGTTTAAGTATTATTAGTAAGTTTTAATTTTAGATCATTATTTTTTTCAAATAATGCAATATTTACGTGTCGTTTTTTGTCCAAACTTTCATAGTATAACTTAGTGAAATCTTCAGCTGTTCTTGAAGACTCTTCCACTTTTGATCGGAATTCCTTAAATGTAATGAAACGATTGTGGATTTTTTGAACCTTTTTTATATTTACTAAACATTATATTTCTCTACTTACGGCGTTCATTTTGATTGAACTTTTTTCTAGAATAAATGTTATTTCCTTCAACACAAGGTATAATACAATGATGTGTTAAGACAATAGTCTTACTTTAACCTTCAAACCTGAATGGTAAGCATTAGAAATGACCGAGTACGAAAATGTATTACAAAATGTTGACATTTGTACTTTTCATTAAAGTTCTGACATTATCATACTTTATTATTGAAATGTTCATGTCAAAAAATTGATTTATTTGTCATTGGTCTAAAATATTTTTGTTTGTGATTTGGAAAAATTGCTGTAGAAAAAAAATTAACGAGAAATGAATGCTTCTAAACCTAAATACTATAACAATAAAATCATTTGATTTCCCAAATGTCTTATTAAAGATGTTGTCCTAATAGATAGTCATATCAGTAAAGCGTTAAGCCCGAGACTTTTGCAATAGTCGCACGAAAAAAAGATAATTCATAAGATTATGCCGGGATGACAAGAATGACTGGTTCACGATTTGCTAGAACTGGCCGGTGTCGGCTTTTTATCGCCTTAGGTGCTTTTGTTTTGATGGTGACAATGGTTTTTGTTAAACTTCAGTTGGACGAAGCAAGGTTGTGAACATTTACAACTATTTTATAACTTGTTTCTAAATTAATATTCGTATTTCTTTTTTTGTTTAGAAAAATGGAAGTACGATGCGAGTACCAGCAAGATGCTCTAAACTTACAGCTTACAGGTAAAAGAAGTCTTTCAAATTATACAAACCAATAGTAAGATAGATAATAAATAAAGAATTCTTTGACTAAATTGATAGATTTACAAAAAAAATTAAGAGTGGAGCGTTTGCAGTATGAGCAATCAGAGCAACAATCACAAAAGCAATATGAACTAAAAGAGAGAACAGTACAAGAATCAAATACGAAGTTAAATTCCTTGCAACAACACTACAAACTCCTTAAAAATCAATACGATGATTTTAAAGATGAATGCACAAAAGAAAAATCAGAAAAAATCGATAAAATAAAAAGTCTACAGAATAAATTAGAAGAGAATTCCTGTAAAGAAAAGGATAAGGATATTGAAATTTGGAAGGTAATATGATATGATCCATTCCTTCGATTCATTTTCCATTCTGTTCCATTACTAATTGATTAATTTCCATTTTCTCCATTTTTCTCTTCCGATCAACTCTAGGTAATATGATAATTTCTAAACATTGCTATTTTTATATTTTAGACGAAATATTTTGAATTGTTAAATGTTATAAACATTGCTATTTTTATATTTTAGACGAAATATTTTGAATTGTTAAATGCCAAACATATGGAAAGCGTCAATAATTTTGATCATGATTGGCGTTCATCTAGCAGAAGTACGAAAGAAGCAGTTGTTGAAAAAAATTTTAATGCACAGATTGCAGTGAATAATAAATTATATTCTATACCAATTAAATACAACAATAATACAAAATCAAAAGATGAAAAAGTCGAGAATACTACTTCAATACTTAAGACAAGTGAGTCTTTAGTGAATAATTCTATTACTTCATCCAAAATAATCTCATTTAACAAATCTTCGAAATCAAAAACCATTCGAAATGAACATCAAATGAAATTTCCAAATGGAGTCGTTCCAATTCCATTCGAACAACCGAATATTGAACAGATAATTCATTCATCAGAAAAAGTCCAAGCTATTCAAAAGAACTCAAAAAATGAAGATTTGGGAGCCCGTGAAGAGAATGACAGTAATTATGAAGAACAGAATGATCATATGGCAAAGGCTTTGAGCCATACAAATGATTTGATCGGGGATGATAATAATAAATCAAATAACAAATTCAATGCAATAGACATTCCAAATGTGAACAATGAAGATTTACAAGTGATTCAGCAACCAAACGATATTCTTGCCAATGAGAATAAATTAAAAAATGAAGTAAATGAAGATCAGGGAAAAGCTTACGTGGATGAGATGAATTTCCAGGTGGAAGATGAGGACGGTAATATTATTATTTATATTAATATTTCTTATTGTTATTATTTATATTAATTATTATTTACGTTTTTTTCATCTAATGTAGATGATGAATATACTGACCATCGACATCAAGGTCAAGCTGTTCGAGAACGCCGTTAAATCAGTGAGCAATATGGTAATCCTAAGGGGCAAA